TTAGGTACTCGAATATATATGAAAAATCTTATGGGTTGATTTGATGTAAGATATGTGGAGATTTGTTCTTTGTCTTGATTTGACTCGTATTTTAACAAAAAATGTACAATTATAATATAAAATTATCATTTAAAATATTATAGAAAATAATAAAACAATTAATTTGATATATTTTAAACAGAATAATTTTAATAAAAAAAGAAGAAAACAATAAGCCTGATCTTTTTTTTTCTTAAGGCTAAAAGACTTTTACACTAGTGTGATAGACGTTCTAAAAGACAAATCAAACAAGATTTATGAGTTTCAAGTGAAAAAAAATATTTAAAATATTTTTGGATATTGTTTTGATTAAAATATTTAGAGATTATAAAAACAAAATATATATACATAATCCAATATCTATAGAGAGTCTTATCAGTTGATTTGATCCAATATATGTGGAGATTTTTTCTTTGTCTTTTTCAATTAAATTCTCACTGTGAAAAGTTTTAAATAAACAAAAAAAACCATTTAAAAATATTTAGAAGGGATGTTTGTGTATTTTGTTAAAAGGAATTTTGTGATGAAATGACTAATTATGCTAAGAACTTGTAATAAATATTAAACATGTTGATATTTCGGTGTTTCTGTGGAAAACAATACTTACATCATCCCTTGTTTTTCAGATCATGCCTTGTTTTTCGTTAATTGAAACAATAATTATCGTTTCTTAACTTTTTAAGAAGATCGGTAAATTATTTTTGTATTTCCCGTTTATCTTAACTTAGAAAGATTTATCTTTGTTGGGCCACTGGAGTAAAAGGTGAATATTTGTTACTGGTAAAAGTTTATTGTATCGAAAACATATTGTCCACTCATTAATAATAATAAAAAATGGTATTGAGACAAATCGCGAATAGCGGCTGAGTTTCGCCTGATGAAACCATAAAACTGAAATGTTTCAAGTTCCAATATATTTCTATTATTATTTATTTCTTATGATCATCCAAACACCTAAAGACGACAAATAGTGATGCATTCTACTCCATGTGTGCTTTTGGTTTATGGATTATAGAATCTGCTGGTTTGGTTTCCAAATAAAAGACAAAGATTAAGTTCAATATAGGTGCCTATGTTCGACATGTATGGTTATTTAGGGTTAATCATGAACCATTAAGTGGTTTTTTTTTGCAAAATCTTGTTGGTTTTTTTTTCTTAAACTTCAAGCTTCTATAATCTATAATATATTTTGGAGTCTAGCTAACGTACATGATGCTTAGCCTCATGTCTCACCGCTCCACTAGCCATTGGAATTTGACACAAATTTTAATTTAGAATGTAATGTATATTGTGACCC